CAAGGGTGCGGATCAGCAGCAGACCACTGGTACACCGCATTTTGCTGGCAGCTGCTGTTGAACCGGCTTGCTGTTCCGCACCTTCGTCAAGCAACACTACAAATCTGGGGTGTTGTGTTTACAGTTCCCGGTTGTAGCCCCAGAACTAAACTGGACCTCTTCAAAGAGCCCGTCGAAGCTAGACCAGGACCTTGCTCAAGGCGCCTGCCACTCTTGCAGTGAGCTCCCTCCAGTCATTCTTCCCACATGCGAGTTCAAGCCACAGGAATCTAGAAACGTCTGCAAACCCTCTTGCTGGATTCCTAGATGAATCGCTATAGAAACAAAACCTAGCTTTGACATCTTGATTCAATACAAGTTACGCACATAAATTGTCAAAAGCAAGCAGCCCAGCTTAGGGGGGCTCTTCACCGCCGTTACCCTGAGAATGCCGCACCATGACCATAATCATGGCCACTCGACAGGACCCAGTCGTCCTCCTCTGCGGGCAGTGCATTGGTGAAGAAGATGTCGGCCAGGCCTCTGCCAACGATAGGCACGTCGGTGCCGAAGACGACAACGACGGCAGCGACGAAGATCGACTATCGATGCAACAGCCAGCTTTTTAGCTACGGCTACTGTCAAGACGTAGACTACTCCTACTACTACTACTACTACTACTACTACTACTACTGTCCTTCCAAGGTCAGCTTTCTGCAGCACCGCACGATTCCATGCGATTAGCCATGCAGACTACAGCGAAGGAATTCCCAATCCAAGACCAAAACAATGTGTTAACCAGGAAGTAGAATCACAGCGACATGGTGGCACGCGTTCTGGCACAGGCCCGTCAGAAATCTCGAGAACCAGACTGCTGAGGACTGTGTGACATAGTCAGGGCCTATCTGCGCTAGTATGAAAAGCAACCTTCCTCGTGCCCAAGGTTCTTCTCCAATAACCGATCCGTGCTTGCATCTATACTGGAAAAGCTTGGCCGTTTCGATGCATCTAGGCTTCCGCTCCTGTGGTTGGACATGCTTCTTCTGCAGATCGCTTCTCGCCGATTTGACTGCTCTCCACATGGGGGCCTTGGCAGCCTCTGCGGCTATGCAGCGCTAGGATGCGCTGCTGCTGGGCATCCTTGTTTAGGATTCTAGAGGGCAAGGAGAGTTGAGGGTTCAGGCTTTTGGAGCTTAGGCCTTTGGCTTTAGGCGTTGAGGTTTAGGGTTTAGGGTTTGGGCTTTAGATGGTTTAAGGAATTTGGGGTTCAGGGTTTAGGCTTTAGTAAAATGGGTAAGCCGAAAGCCACAGTTCATATAGTGGTCCGAAGAAGTCGCGGCAATCTCCCCACCCCATAATCTCTCGCTATCATTGGATATCAATACGCCAAACCCTATTCCAACCAAGTCAGACTCTTATCATACAATCGTCAAACAAGCCTTTTCTATCTGTACATATGTGGATACTATTTGTTTATGTATGTATTTGATAGTTGTACTATTTATGTAGCTGCATCTTGCCATTCTTGTGGGCGGTCTCGGTTTTGACAATGCCCTCAGCTTCCCCCGAGCTCAGGCCCAACCAAGGTGCTGAAAGCTGCTGCAGCTGCGCCTGAAGGACCGGCTCGAAGTGCTCCTCTCGCGCCAGGAGGAACTCCTGAACAAGCATAAAGACCTAAGGGGTTCGTTTAGAGGATTCATAGAGGGTTATCCGAAGGGTTTGATAGGGTTTCTTTGGATGTTAAAGGGGATGAGGGTTTGGGCGACTAAGGCTTAAGATTTGGGTTTAGTGGATGACTAGGGGTTGCGATGGGTTCCCACTTCTTCTAGCTGAAGTTCCAAGCCTGAAGAGCATGTTGCTCTGGACTGTCGCAGTTGCAATGTACTGTTTCTGTATACAGGTATAATACTCTAATAGACTCTGTCCATCCTACCATCCATCTACCGATCCATCTGTCTATCCATCTGTCTATCTGCCTACCTACCTACCTACCTACCTATCTATCTATCTGCCTCTATAGCTAGCCATCTACCTATATCTATATCTGCATAGGTATCTATCTATCTATATATATATATCCATATCTATATATATATATATATGTATACACACGGTGCTACAATTCAGTGTATGCAAGATACTGCGGTTCAGGGTGAGGTATGGCTCTTGTTGGACTCTCAGAGATGCTCGCCTGTAGGATTCGGAATGACCCGATGAGTCCCAGGCTGAGAGACATGGATCCGCAAAGCAACCTGAGGTTTGGGGTTTAGGGGCTTAGGGGCTTAGGGGTTTAGGGGTTTAGGGTTTAGGGTTTTAGGATTTAGGGGTTTAGGGTTTAGGGGTTTAGGCTTTAGGGGACCAAGGAACTTGTTTATGGTATTGGGCACTGGTGAACGAAACCTAAGACCACCAAAAAAGGACAAAGGGCCCACTGCGAGACTTAGGAGAACTCATCTTAAGCCGACAGAACACGTCTTCGAGACCCAAAGCACTACACGGGCACCATACTGGAGATCCATGGTACCAAAAAACTAAGATTTCCATACTATGAGAACCAACCTGCCTAAACTCCTACACCCCCTTTAACCTATAACCTTAACCGTTACGGAAGCCCCATGTAACTTGCATAAGTTTCCCGGAGCCCTGCACCCAAAACAGCATGCGTGTCCTCAGAGCGACGATCTCCTGTCGGCCAGCGCTCGTCGAATTGGGCCACATCTTCCCTACACAGCCTCGTTTTGCGAAGGTTACCCTAACCCCCCAGGTACCTACTATATAGGGTACTAGAGCCCCTAAGGCCCTTTTAATATGTACCTGGAGGGTTAGGGTTAAGCATTCCATATCGGGTTTCTGATTATGTGAGGGTTTTGCGAGAGGTTGTTCTGGGATGTACACCGTATAATTGTATAAGGCACAATTAAGGGCTCTATGACAGCACTTTAATTTGAGGAGTGCGCAGAAAAGCCGTGGTATCGATGGAGCCCTAAAAACCCTGCGACCCTGCAAAGCCCACGTTGCGAGAGCCCTCACCCCCGAAAGCCATGTACATCTCAACAAAACCTACGAGCAGCCCTAGCTTCAAGAAACCCTATGTAAAGCAAGATGACTCTTGACATGGAGTTCCTTCAGATAGCAGCCAATCAGATTAAGGTTTCTAGTTAAGTTACATGAAAACAGAAGTTGATGTTGGGCTAATTCTTCACACCTCTTTATTGCAGTCCTTACGATAGAGAGTTCATAGATCCCAAGGGAGACCGGAAGCGATTTGCAGGAGCTTATGGACACCGGACATGGGTCAAACACCATCTCTGACAGGTTGACCTGATGCGCTTAGCCCCCACAACACGAAAGCTATATGGGGTTTCCGAAAATGGGGACCCTAATTCAGTACCCCAAATAATAGGATCCTTATTATAAGGACCCCAAAATAAGGTACCCCTAATTTTCGGAAACTCCCATATGTGAAGCTTACTTGAAGGTTGTTTCGCCCGGAGGGAGGATGTGCGAGGTTGGTAAGGACAGGACGAGCCACGAGCACAATGGAGGGGAGCCACGGGCAACTATCAACTATCAACAGAGCGACCGAGAAAGCCAAGGATACTTATCATGTCGAAAGGCGCCAATTCATAAACCGCAATATAGGAGCCTTGCCTTAGCAATCAGAGCGAGGTTTTATGAGGTTTTGGGGTATAGTAGAGCATGGGGTATGATTACTAGTCGCAAACCCCTCGACCCCACAAGCCTTCTGTAGCCCGGTGAGCTCTCAAAACTCCCTCCGGTGTGTGCCCTTATTGTCCTGAAAGTCTTAAGGTTCAGTGTTTCGGGTACGACCTATGCTGAAGCTGCAGAAGCCCAACATAGAGAATTGCAAGATAACCGGTATCTCCGATGCACAGCAGCCTCAACAAAGCAGGGTCGTCCTCAAGCACCCAGTCACCTCCATCAGTCGCGGACTGGTTCCGAGAATTCGTCCCGACAGCAGGGGTCCAAATGGTATGATCACCAATAAAATCGCTATTGCTGGTGTTAAAATTCCATTAAAACACGATGATGACTACCCTTCTTGTTATCATGTTTCTTGCTTTAACGGGACGTCTAGTCTGCAGTGCGGGAGCCAGGGAAGGCTGGGTTTCGGATTTCACAGCACAAACGGCCCAACTTTGGGAAAAAAAGCGTCGGGAAGCCACGGGAAAGGTGCGGTTGCCATGGAACGCTTTAACTAGCGCGAAATATGCCCATCAAACCTCACAGCAGTGCCGAAATAAACAGAATCAGCAGCCTTGGGCGATCGGCGTTGTTGCCACAGCTCCCAGGCCCTTGCCTTCCACCGGAGAGACCCGGAAAGTCGGACACGCCATAATCTTCCGATGTGGATTAGGGAAATTCGTCTTGAAAGCCTCGGATACTGGAAGCAGTCCATCGGCAATTAACTGCGCCACTGCTCTTTGGACGTTAACTCTACTGGAATGGTGGGAGCCGCAACACCTCAAGCAGCACATTGTTGTTTCTTAATCAGCCTATCCAAAGCTATTTCAGTGCCAAAGCCAAAGACTACCCTCTGAAACCACGACATAAGCACCTATGAAAATGCAGCAGAGCCTGGGGAAGGCTTGTGCTTCCCCCTGTAAAGCCAGATGGCTGCGATGTCGAAAGGGCCCAGTTTCAAGCATCAAGGCTTCTGGGGCCTAGAATCTATGCAGGCTTTGGGTTTAGGGTTTAGGGTTTAGGGTTTATACTATGGGATACTCTGTGAGGTAGGAGAGTGAAAATCGTAGCTACTTAGAGACTTGGGCATCAGGTCATAATTCAACAGACATATGCAGAAATGCGCATTTTTGTTTCCCGAAGAAAGAGTGTTCTGGAGCATGGCTTCATCGACTTGAGGAAATTGGCAAAGGACGCGGTCCAAGTCAACTTGGGTTTTGAGCTTTAGGGTTTAGGGTTTTGGGGGACAGATCAGGTGGGCAAACCCCGAGGAACGGGGACAAGCTGGCCGAATTCATTGGCAATGTGCCCCGCACCGTCGAAGCAGTGAAGGCTGGCATCAAAGGACCTGGGTAACGAGATGTAACGAGGAATGGGATTTCAAGAGAAGGGTTGCTGTCAAGAGCACCCCTGCTGCATCCGCCAAAGGCTCCCAACACTCCTCCTTCCGTCCTCTGCTAGCCACCATCTCGAGTGCAAATGCTTCTTGCATCTGTATATTTGCTGCTCTTTTGATGAAGGTATCATTTCGTGCACCCACTTGTATAATGTGCTCATTCGTTCTGCTGCTGTGCGTTTTGTGGGGGATGTAGCGGAGACAAAGGTCGTCTTACACCTTCCCAAACTCCGAACCCTGAGCCCTACTCATCAGGCACCGGCGGCAGATCGGCAGTGGCGGATCGGCTTCGCTGGGCAAGTCCCGGATGTGTCCTGCTGCAAGAGGTTTAGGGTTACGGTAGCAGCTTTCGGGTTGAGGCTAGGTCCATTCCAGTAGATCTGTAGGACTCTACCAATATTGTAGGCAGTGGAGCTGGGGTCAAAATGCAGAAAACACCACCGGAACCGAAAGCCGTGAGCTCCACACAGCCGGCGTGTGTGTCGTAGACCATAGGCATGCATGTCCCAGAGCCATCTATGTGTCTTCAGTAACTTCAGTACTGGCTCTTCTCTTAAATGCAATTTGTTCCAGCTGCCTTGCAATGAGATCCACACAGAGCTTCCTTACTTCTGCAGATCTGCACAAGGGGCCCCAAACACTGAACCCTGAAGCTTCATCAGCCCTGGTTACACCCAGCAGTGCCAGAGCCTTTTAAAGCCCTATGTGTCCTCGTGGGCTCAGAACGAAGGAGTGATGCAGATCCTGGCCGCTGGTCTGAGGAGGGCTCCCTGGATTTGGTCCTTGTTCTGGGACTTTTGAAGAATGACATGCGAGTTCCAGTCCCCGAAAACATGACCTCAGTTTACCACCCCCCACAATGAAGGCAGTCGGTCTGAGTGAGCCATTGTGATTTACTCTTCTGGTGCCCAGGGCTTGGACGGATTACCTGAACCTAGCTGATATTCTAGAGGAATCTCGCAGAATTCGGAGGCTTCTTGAATCTGTGGCATGTCAGGAACATTCGCAACTGCAAAGGCTGCAGGCAGTGAGGCGCTTAGCTTAGGTCGCCTTCAGAGTCTCAACAACAAGCCAGGGTCTTACCCTGAGTCTATATTATTTCCCCCTTTTCTCTGTCTGTCTGTCTGTCTGTCTGTCTGTCTGTCTGTCTGTCTGTCTGTCTTTCTGCCGGGCTTAGGGGTCGTCCATGCGACCCTCAGGCCTTCGGCCCG